ACACACCACCCCACATTTTTCCACAAGTCCAAAGATTTCTTGAGTTCTTCGTTACTGTACCCACTCGCGATGATACCATTTTGGATTGGGTACTATCAACCACTAACTCAGTACACAAGCTATCAGTCAAGGCACCGTTTGGTACATCCGATCACAATATCATTGAATTCCTATATAAATTCCATAATCCGAAAATTGAACTTATTCCATTTCCCATTTTCACTAAAATTGATTTCAAAGCAATGAAAAATGATCTTCACACTCTCAATTGGGAAGAGATCTTCAATCAGTATATTGGCCTCTCCGATGTATACTACAGATTCTGCTGTGTTATGTATAAACTACTGGCTAAATATACTCCATTTGGTGTGCACAAAATTGGCTATTTACGATACCCGCGTCACATACAGTCGCTTCTGCTCCAAAAAGAAAGACTTTTTGAAACTGCTAAATATAATAGCCCATTGTACAGTAAGGTCTGCTCTGATGTCACATTCCACATCGAGAAATTCCTCGCCAATCACGAAAGACACCTGGCTTCGTCTATTTACTCAAAAAATCTCTTCTCTTATATCCATCATATACAGCGCGCACAATATCACGGGGCCTTGAAGGATACGTTGGGCAATACCTGTCTAACAAATCAGTCCAAGGCTTCAGCATTAGCCGAGTTTTTTGCAAATACGTTTTCCGCAAGTACTCCTCGCACTAAAGGATTGGGTGCACCTCTGAACCATACCTGCTCAGCACCTATGATCATGCCTTCTACTGTCGAAAACTTTCTTAGAACCTTGAAACAATCTACATTTGAACCTTTTGATGGCATACCTCAGATTGTCTTCAAACGTTGCGCCAGAGAGCTCTCTGTCCCCTTGTCACATATCTTTAATATTAGTTTTATTTGTGGAGAAATACCTGACATTTGGAAAGAAGCAATTGTCACCGCAGTTCCAAAAGTTCCCAAACCTCAATCTGTGACAGAATTCAGGCCTATAAGTATAAATCCAGTACCATGTAAAGTTCTGGAAAAGATAATTCGTGACAAACTTATTTCATGGCTGGAAAGGTTTAATCTCATTCCCGATGAACAACATGGGTTTGTCAGTGGTGCATCCACTGTAACCCAACTAATAGATTGCAATCATGACTGGATTAAGGCATACCTCGATAAGAAGGAAGTGGACGTTATATGCTTCGATTTGTTGAAAGCTTTCGACCGTATAAGTCATGGTAAACTGTTATATAAGCTTGAGCACTATGGTATCAGAGGACCCCTGCTTGAGTGGCTAAAATCATATCTGCACTCCAAACATATGACGGTTCGGGTGGGAAGAGATCATTCTGGACGTTTTCCTTGTACTAGCGGACTTCCACAGGGCGGGGCCCTTTCACCATTGCTATTTCTAGTTTATACTGAGTTACCCCAAATTTTAAAACCTCATCCTGACATACATGCTATGCTACGTGCTCATGTATGCCGATGATATTAAAATTTACGGCATACACGATAGGGATAATCAGAGAACAATTAAAGATTCCTTGCAGCGTGCTATCAATAACATGGTTGAATGGTGTACAGATTGGGACATTTCAGTGAATATAAATAAAAGCTCTGTATTCCATGTTGGTTCTGCTGCAAGTGACGAACACTACGAGCATGCGGGAGTTTCCCTAGTCAACAGAACATCTATCAAAGACTTGAGTGTTGTATTCGATAGCACCTTGAGACCAGACTTGCAAATTTCAAACATCACCTCTCGCTCATTCTCAGTTTTGTATGCCATCTTTCGCAACATAAGAGCAGCTGATCCCAAAATATCACTGAAACTTTATAAGGCATTTGTCATCCCTACTGTAGAATATGCAAGTCAGGTTTGGAGCCCTTTTCTGAGGAAGCATAAGCTGGCCCTGGAGAACGACCAGAAGGTTTTCACTCGTTTGCTTTTCTATAGATGCTATCCCAGTCGTGGTTACCCACGATCGCTTCTAAGCTACAATGATGAACGAATGAAAGTCCTAGGCCTCAAAAGTCTACTACATGGCAGGATCATGCATGATATAATACTTGCTTTCAGGATTTTTAAAGGCGAGACTAGACTAAGACCTTCTAAATACTGGATGTTCAGGCCTAGTCACGGAAGGACTACTGGTTTTTCTGTTTATTTACATCTAAATGGTAGGCGGAAACAACTAAACTCTTTATCAAGAAACAGTTTTTTTGCACGCACTTCAAAGTATCTCCAGTGTTTACCTAAAGAAATTCTGTCTTCTCCAGATAGCCTTACTTTCAAACGTAGACTCAAGAAGTTGAATTTGACCGATTTTCTTCCAGATGACTGCTTCTCGTTATCATTCGTATAGTGCTGCCGTTCGCCTGCCGTACTTTCCTACGCTCGCTGCTTCGCAAGTCGCTTGGGCTGCTCCAGTACTATGATCTGACTAACTCTATCAATCTCCCACTTATCGCGTAGAAGGTCTCCTAGTGATAACTTTTCAGATTAATATATTTGCGGTCGTGAAATTTCGACTTGCTATTGTTTCGATCATTACTTTACATGCTGGTTCGGGTCCGGTTCATCCATTCCGTTGCTACTTGGGAATAGCTTGTTAGGCTTGTTCATTATTTTATTTTATAACCTCTTATCTCGGAGTTCTGTTCTCTCCCCAGAATCAGTCGGGCAAATTTGTCAACCTATACTGTCCTCGCAAATACATTTGCTAAATTTGAATAAGAGCACTTTTGCTGCAAGCAGGGGGTATGAGACAGACTCCACAGAGCATTTTACTGATACAATCATACAAGGCCCATACAAGCTTAATCCCCTTATTCCTACATACTGAGAGCTGGACTTGGGCTGTTGGTGGATTTTTTTTCTTTTTTGGTTGTTCACTACTGTAAGGTTCTTACTAATTCGTTTTACTTGTTCCAAATGTGGCACGCCTTGTGCGTATTGAATAAATAAATAAATAATTAAATAGATCACGAGATAGAACAGGAGACGTTTAAAACTTCAAAATCTTAACTAATCTCATTCATCGGGTGAAATATGACATGAAACACAGAGGGAAATAAGGAGATCTAGGGTTGTATCGAATCTTCTGCTCGCAGTTAATTTTCGTGAAAAGTTTTTCAGATTTAATCGCAACTGCATCATTAGGAAAAATCTGTGAGTTGTTGCAAAAGCTGCATCACAATGCAGGCAATGTGATAAATGAAATCCAGCGCTTTATGAACATTGCAAACAGAGTTTTGTGAAGTAAAAGCGTGACAGCACTATGGTGGGGTTCGAGTCTGTCCGTCAACTTCAGCGATTACGCAGAGTTTACAAAAGCGCCCTTCACCTTATTTGTACAAAAGGGTCGGTGGATTCCATGACTAGCATTTGAAATGAACAAGAGCTCAAAAACACCAGCTTATTAAAGCAGATTGACTTTTGATGCCTTTGAAAGCAAAAAATGTAGTGATCGCTTCTATTTGAGTAGGATGACAGGCCGTAGGTGTTTCAAATGTTTCATAATTTAGGCTGTAATTGTACAAAAAGATTTGAAAGTCAACGAATGCGATAGTGATTAGATAAACCAGGTGGTTTTATAATTTTGTCCAGCTTTCATTAAGGGCTTTTTCAAATTTTTTCGTTTTTCTCCGTTCAAACTCAACAAGACTGGAAGCCGTTGAGGGGTCATGGAAGGTTGACATGCACACAATATAGCAAAGTTTGACAGATTCATTGACAAGAACTAAAATTACGACGATTTCTAGAGTGGCTTTCTAATTTATGTCTGGCACTATATTACTGAGCGTATTAAAGATTGGCCCGTAGTAAACCCCACTTCACTTCTGAAGATCTCAACTGAAGGCCTGAGTTGAGGTATTTGAGATAAACTGACCAGCGGCCACTCCTACATGCTTAAGAATCGACCTGATCTGACGGGCAAGCGTCAGGGAAGGTGCCGCGATGAATTCACATGAAATTCGTAAGAACAGCGTCGATTTTGAGATGAATCGACCGAGATAGTGTGCAAAGGATAAGACGCAGAGAAAAAACCCTTAAGTTGCTCGTGAGTAACTTACGGGACATCTTACTTAACGTACTGTTGCGGTACAAGAGCGCGCAAAATGCACAATACCGGTGCCCAAAAAGGAAAGAATCAATGAACAGCTGATTTCGGCAAGAAAACAAGAGAATAGGTTTTTTCCTTTTTGCATAGTTTGCTTAGGTTATTTCTACAAACTCAATCTCTTTATTTATTTTCATTCGATGTCCCTACTTCCTCAATTTCTGATTGAATCTTGGTTTAAAAGCGCAGTTTTGTTTTCTGCATTCTTTTGGTTTGTGTATTCCTTGGTAGCGACCGCCATCGATTTTCTTCGATAGTGGTCGCTATCAAAGATTGCTCAGTGATGCACAAAAATTTGCCAGTGGCCGGCAGGAACCACGGTCGTGCGGACTGAGTACCAATCACATATCCGTTTGACCAAATCTGCACAAGGATATAGGTGTTTCCTCCTTGACAACGCGCAAGATTTTTATACCTAAAAGCAATCCGCATCTAAATCGATGGCTCACTGGACGGTGGACCGAGGCGCGTTACGATCAACTCAAGTCCGTCTCAGGGCAGATTCCCTGATGGGGAGTTTACTACGGGCCATTGTGTTTTATCGTGCGCACAGAAGTTTGCGCACCTTTCATGTTTGTAACGTGTTAATTTACATGCAACTAGTAGAATTTCGTTACACCTTCAAGCTCGGCTCGCTAAGAGTTGGAGTTATTGCTAATGTTTCATAAGTGGAAACTTTACGGGTTCCCCTTTGCTTTCCCCTCAAGACACGACATCCAGCGTGTGAAATCGCCACCTGTGCTGAGCCCTGTCCTTATCATATTAGCAATATAAGAAGAACTGACACACGTCGCAGAAAATTAAGAAATGAAAAGACTTTTGGGGCAACCTAATAAATGTAGAAAGCCAAAGATGGGAACAAGCTAATTCATCAATATCTCATAAAATTTATCAAACACAGTGCACCAGAATGAATTACACGTAATATCTCGTTACAGAAGTAACGATAAAACAAGCGAATGATTTGCTATTAGCAATAACAAATAGATCATAAGACCACACTGAAGGCACTACTAAGGCATTGTCTGTCCCTTAAAGAACAAAACAACCTATGTATAGAAAAGTCGTTCGTACGACTAAAGCGCAATAAGACGGAAATATCCACGAATCGCACGCAAATTTATGCTTCACATTGGCAGTCATTGCTAGGCAAGCAATAAGATCAGTTACGTGCTCGTACACACCTGAGTTCGGTGAAAGAAAGACCTAATTGGTTGAACACTTAAGGTAAGATACTCAGACTCTTCTCTAGTTCTCAGCTTCTTGAGTAATATAGATTTATATGAAGATCTTGTCTAAGCAGGAACGGTCCCACTGACTTTTCCTACGCTTGAAGGTCTTGAATCCTTTCGAGTGAACCAATCCGCTATTGAAGACTAAATAAAAAAAATTGATTTTACAAATTAATAGGTCCATATTTCTTGCACCAAAAAGTGTTGGAAATACAATATCTCAGGTTTAATTTTATATTTTTTGAAATTTACAACACATACATGGTTTATCTAACTCAAGACTAATTAAGAACACCATTTATAGAACCTAAAATATATTAGAATTTGATCTGCAATAATTAAATTGGATTAGTGCTGCATTTTTTAAAACTATTGGATACAGTTATCGTCCGCTCAATAATTAAACAAAAACAAACAAAAAAAACAAAATCACATGAAATATTTGGAAACTTCATCTAAATAAGTCGAAAGCCATAACATATAGAAACATCCAGTTACTATAAATTTCTTACAGTAAAAAAAGAGAGTAAAACCATGATCAAAGAACTTGGGATTTCCTGGACATCGAGCATTTTTAGAGGTCAAAAATAAAAGTACAATTCGGTGTTCTTAATCTGCTTGTGTCACCGTTATATAAAAAAAATGTATTCGCTATTAAAAAGCGTTTGATCTCTTCTTTTTAAGCTGTATTATATTGAACAAAATTGAAAAATAGTAATTTTCACAAATTTTGGCGCAAGACTTATGGATCAACCTAATAGATAAGTAGTCAGTTAAAAACCTTACCTGACTCCCCCAAAATCTGTCTTTGAAAAAGGTATTGTATATTGAGGTAAGAGCGCATAAGAATGCGGGCACAAATATCAGGCCATGAATAAGGCCCAATGTTACGACGAGTACCATAGTTTTAACAAACACCTGAAATGATTTGGTTTGATATACTTTTTTGGGAGAACGGTCCGACTTATGCTACGCTAAAACTTCTAGAAATTATGAATTATGAGTATATAAACTTTGAAGACTCTACCTCACTCATGTAGGTCTTCACAAACAATAAGCAAAGAACAAATAACACCGTAGAAATTCCACATTGAAGAAGTGGAAAACCTATGGCTGCTAGCGATCTGAAAAATGCATTTTAGCAGTAAAAATGCAGATTCTTTGGCCAATCACAGCATTACTCACTTGGCTATCCGTCTTGCCGGTGTTGAGTCGGGATCTTCAAGACCTTCTCGGAAATAGTGGAATGTAATGTGAGCCGGAAAATCTACACTGAATCCGATAGACATGATCGTAGTGGCCATAGATATTGGATCGAGATCAACACCCCAGAAGGATAGCATTCCAAACACTCCTATAAGAACCACCATCAACTTTGGAGCTTCGGAAACTAGATGAGGAGTTTCGACTAAGTCATTATCAAAGCAGCATCTCATATGATTAATTTGTGGCCGAGAAATTCAGGTTCAAACCCCTGCCTATTACCGTATCCCTTATCCAAGCGGACCAATCAGCGTTCGGGTGCGGTGCTGGGCAGCAGTTTAGAGTCAAATTACTTAGCCACTAACGATTCTTAAGAACTGTCGCATAAGCAATGGCTTTTTTGGGGATTTCCTAATCATTTTTCAGAAACGTAAGTCTCCATGTTTGCCTGAAAATGCCTCCAGAGGGCACGCCTGTGGTTTGGACTTACCAATGCAAATTGAAGTTATAGATATCGTAGCAACAATTACAGTGAATAAATTGTACATAAATATAAAGCAAACAAGCATCATGCACAATAAAGTGCATATAGAGGTGGAGATGGTTGCTGGGAGCATCGAATCGAGCTAAAGCCAAGAACTTAAAGTATATACTTAGAATATATTTTTCTTGGATACCTGATCCAAGAATGGTGCGTAATCATCGAATACGGAAACATTCAAGGCTGGGTAGCTATCTGCTGTTCGCCGCCACCTAAATTTGAGAAATAACTAGGGGGGAGGGGAGAATTTTTGATGAAGTCCGTATGTTTCACAAAGTCAATTGGAGATTTTTAACTCTTTACACAAAATTTCAAACATTCTGATTGAAACTGGCACTTTTATGAGCTTGGGACATCAAAAAATGCTTGAAACTCTTTACTTTTCTAGGATTCCCTTTCTGTAGACATTGTCACCCATTCGATCTCCATGGTAGGAGATAGTAATCCATATCCGGGTCAACCTAAAAAGGAACTATGAACATTTTTCTGAGAAAATTTAAAGAGACTTTTAAGAATGCGTACTGACTTTCCCTTTTCATCGAATTTAACAAAGCCATTCCAATGTTTGAACTCTGGCCATGAGAAGAATGATTGCATGGCTGCTTTTGTAAACGTTTCATTTCGTTGTGGTCCTTCGCCAAAGGCCTCTTCTTCCTCAAGTTCGACCATCTCACGGAAGAACTTATAATCTCTGCAAGAGGGTATTATGTGGGTTAACTGCATTCTTGCATAGCTAAGGCTCTTACCGAACAAAGTAATGGCTAAAATTTGCACCCAGACATTCCGGATAGGATTCGAAAGCTGCTACAAGGCTGTTCACCATCCGCAGTCGAGCTGGATCGTCAAGATCTCCAGGCTAAATGAAGAAAATATGGATAACATAAGAATTGCGCATAAAAGGGGTAAAGCTTGCTTACGTTTTGCACGAAAAGATTTGCAACGGTGTAGTTTACAAGAATGTAGTGTTCACGCAGATGGTTCATCTGGAATGAGATATGTCGTGCTGAAAGATTTTCGCCTTTGGCAGCAAAACAATTGGCAGATTTTTCAAACATTCCTAACTTCTTGCAAACCCAAGAAGTTTGCAAGCAACAATCTAACTCTCGCCTTAAACCATACCGACAGTTATGGATTAATTTGAGGTGTGAGATGCAGCCAACAAACGTGATTTTCAGAATTTGAAATTCTCGAAGTAGGAAGTAAAGGATTCCACTTGACTTCGATGCATATAAACATCAACAAAACTTTTTTATAGACTCGATTAAGGTGAAAAGCTGAGTTCAAAACATTTACATTGGTAATCTGTTTCCTTTTCATCCTGGACCAGCTCATCGCCTTCGCTTTGCCTGTTTGAAAAGAACGACACTTTAGAACAAAGCTCATATTCTGATCATTTTGTATCTAATTTTTGCCATGCCCGAATTTCCAGATTTATTCTGAATTATGGTTACAAAATCATTTTGTTAAATCAGAACTGATCAAGATATTCAGTTTTGATCTATATTGGGCGGACCGGGGGGGGGGGGGGGGTTCGAAAGTAAATTACATGAGCTACCAAATTGTGCAGGTGACTTACTTTTGCTAAATAATTGTAATAATTTTCAGATTTTTCGAGATTAGCTTTTAGCCACACCCCCTTTCACCAGAATTTTCGAATTAGGGACCACGAAGGACTTGGAGCATTGGAAATGGCTAATACCGCGCCACTTTATTTTAAAAGTTCTTTTTGACCGCCACTAATTCTCAATTGTCCAACAAAACCAAAGTAAAAATTATTATGGTTTTTGTGCAACTAAGAAGTCTTCAAATCAAGCAACATCACTTTTCTAGAAAGATTGTTGCTTGTCATATAAAGATTCAATTGACTGTCGGGTGAGCAAACGAGTAAATTATGATTTCAACTAGTTTTAAAAGGGCAAAATTTGGGAAAATAATAACTTAACGAGAACAAAAACCTACAGTAATCAAATCCGAGTCTTGTAGCACGAGCTTATCAGCCGACAAGATGATTTGAATCTGTGTGGCACCCAAGATGCTGAGGAACCAGTAGATTATCAGTACTATGAGTAGGAATGTAGCTGTAAATTTACTCGCCAACCATTGCGAGTACTCATCGAGATAGTCAGAGAACTAAAAAGAATTGATTTAGAACCATGGTTTCGAAAAATTTTGGAGTGAAAGCGGATACATACCATTTGCTTTTTTAAAGTCACCCACTGAGGGTCATTGGAAGCTTTTGATGCTTTTCGCATTTCAAAATCACCCGTTATCGACATGAGTGCAGCATACATAGTGATCTAAAAAGTCTTTTTTTTATACAAAAGAGGTTTCGCTAAATTGCAGTGAAGTAAGCGAAGTTTACTCCAAAAAATAGGGGATACTAATAGCCCATGAGGAGTCCATAAGTCTTGTCGTCTAGTTACCAAAACAATAGAAAAAAACCTTGTTATCGAATGCCTCTACGGATTATATCGTTTTTATTTCATTCGTCTTTTGATTTTTTTTTGAATAAAATTTTCCGAAAAACGGTCCAATATATTTCAGGTCTTTCTTTTCATTTTTGGCAAATGACCAGTTTCATTGATCCTGTTAGAAAATTTATTATGATGCTCTAAAACGTCCAATCGCTGCGCATCTTGATTGAAGAGAGCGTGCTACAGGACAAAAACAGAAGAAAAATTGAGTTTTAGTGGTCTTTTCACTACGTTTGGCAACCAAAAATACAAAAAAATACGATATAATGGTTTTTTAAAGTTGTTTGAATCACTGAATTTGCCAACCTTAATGTAATTGGACCCTACTAGAAAGCCAATAGCTCAATCTCTGAAATTTATCACAAATTCAATAAAACGGAGGAGCTATTCCTCCAGAACTTGGTGCAAGACATGTGGAACACACCTAATAGTTGGTGAAATACCAAAAAATATAGCTAAACAACATTCTTCACCTCCTGCTTGATATAGATGCTTGGTATCGTGCCGTACCTGATAAAAGTAATCGAAGAGTATTGCCACTGAGTTACCAATGCAGAACAGTTGAATTTCTGGCGTAGGAGTATAATATCCCACAAGAAAAGCCAGAAAATTCGTCAATGAGGTAATAGTTACAGATGGACCCACATCCACCAACATGTGGGCTATTCTGAAAATAATTTTTTCAGAAAAATCTTGGTCAGGGTTGAGGATATCGCGTACCTTTCACGCCTTGTCATTGTTGAATCATTAGTAGAGATTCGCATCCACGAATGCATCATGAGGTAGGCATCATCGACACCTGAAAGGACTATGTCAAATTTCCTAAAAAATGCTAATGAAGTTGAAAAATTAGGAAAGTATTGGAAAATGGCTTACCAATAGCTAGGACTAAGAATGGTGTGACGCAGAGGATAGTCCCAAAGCGAAATCCACACCAGAAAAGGAATCCCAATGCGGATGAGGTAGCCAGTAAAGGACATATACAACCGAATACTGCATTTGTGATCTTGTGATTGCTCCACTAAATTTCTTGTATAAAAAGCATTCTTCTCCTGAACTCTTTAGCGGTAAAACAGTGATAACTGGGAGGTAATAGAATTGAGAAAATTATTGACAAGAGCTGCTGACTTTTAGCGTAATGTTTATTAAGAGAGGAGGAAGAAAAGGAGGAGGAGGAAGCTTCTGTTCTCAGACACCTTCCAGTCTCTCTGCTCTTTTATTTTATTTTTCAGTATCAAATTTTTTACGGCGAAGTTTTCACTGCACCTTCTCATTTTCGCGCTCCCTACCAATCATGCTGTTTAAATTTGCCTTGATTTTATGCGAAAAGACAGTGAACGCTTTCCAATTCACATACACTGTCGGCTCAAAACAAGTCAGTGAAAATTATTCTAATTCGAAAAATAAAATAAATCTTAGGCTGTATGTTCAAGACACGTTTTGAATTCAGATTAGGGAGGCTTGCTATCCCGGGAATCTCGTCAAGGAGCGTAACCGAAATGAAAAAAAAACAATTTAAAAAAATTTCGAAGGCTAATTATCGTGCATTTCAAAACAGTTATTATGCTGATTTTCATTTGACGAGGCAGCAGTTTTTGACACAAAGCGCATTTTTTCGAGGTGTAGATATATTACATCAAAATTACCATTGAATTTATCTTGCCCCCTCCCTCACCCCCATTCTTCCACTTCCCCGCTAAAGGTTCATCTCTTAAAACGGCACCTTTCGCTTTCGGGGGGAGATTTTCTCGAACCAGAACATGACGGCGTCCAGCTATGACGCATAAATCGTCGTCATTACAGTTTTAGCCGCGCTTTCAAGCCCGACAATCCGAAGCCGAACGTCTGTCTGCTTGCGCTGAATGCGAATTCGATTTCGACATTGCTGATTAGCGCCTGATCAATAGGCGAAAATCGGATCGACATTATGGATTGCAGAAGTCGAGTGGTGATTATGGATTAATCGTTTTTATGAGTTCGTGACGAAGAATAATGCGCTTTTGTCGCCCAAAGTCATTTAAGCGGCTGAACTGTCTGGTTTTATGCAAAAATACATGAAACGATACAGTTTCCGCTGAGGTGAAGCAAATCTCTTTGAAGCTTTGTTATTTGTAAAAAGCCTGAGCCTGTACTGTAGACATCTACAGAAAGATTTGGTTCAAATTTTTTGCATAATATTTATTTTTTGATGTGGCTTCACCATGGATAAGATTTGCCCTTAATCCTTACTACATGATGAAATCTCTCAGAGAAGTTTCAATAAGGGTCTAGGCGCTACAGACGCTACCGTAATCCTACAGTAAGATGATATGGAGAAGTAGTAGTGATAAAGATCCAAAGCCTATACCCCTGGGTTTGATACGATAAGTTAATTTACTGCTACGGTCTTTGAGAAAATTGTCCGAAGTAGTTTATTCTATACAAATAATAATCATTTCCCCAGAAATCTCCATCAATCAATAATCGATCGCCCATCTACTATATAATAATATAGAGGACGAAGTGAGTAGTGTTTTTGTGAAGGGTAAAAATTGCTCGCAAAAACAGTCAGACTTTGCAAAAGCTTGGCGCATAAGGGGAAGGTAAAAATTTTTTTCAATTATGTAATTACCTAAAAGGCAAGAATCCCAGAGATGCAAATTTAGTCAGACAGCGTCCTTGACCCTGATTTTATTACAATTTTACATCAGTTTATATCATACAATTAAGCCAGATCATTGACCTAATCATTTTCTATCAAGCAGCATGCGTTGAAGATTTGCAAGGCCAATTAGGCTGGAATTCGTCACCGGAAGAACAGAATGTCCCGGAGTAAAAGAATTTTTATTTGTATTTGGCAAAGTTTCAACTATCCTCCGAAACACCAAATGCCTAGTAAATTCTCAGAGATCATCCTTTTTTGCCATACGATGCACTTTCCATCCCATTTCACTTTCAGAAGTTTGTACTCGATGATCCAATCATAGCACAACAAAGGACATTTTCGACGGAACATTGGAAATAAAGTCGTGAGACTTGGAACATTCCATAAAAGTTGATTGCAATGGAGTCAGATGATCATATGACTGATAAATTCTTAAGGACAGGTTATTAAGAAAAAGAAGAAATGGAATGGAAGTTAGAGAAGAAAAAATAGTCCAAAGTCCACTATTCTTGGGGTAAACTGTTTTTTGTTGTAAAACGCATGAACAGTCCCTTATAGGGTTCAAGTTTTTTTCTTGCCTTGAATATGCAAAACTGTTTGGGAGGCCTTGTCAACGCCATTGCCCAAGCGGCAGCTAATATGACTCGTTGGTGGTCGGGAAAGTTAACTCTGTACTCTATCCCAAACCGTACCTTCTACCGCACCTCTCTAACGAAAATTACGGTCTGGGCCGGGCTTCAGAATTAATTTTTCGGTCACCAATGAATTGAATGAGCTGCCGTTTGAGCGACTTTTTTTCCAAGGACTTTTAATAATAACCATGATACAGAAGGAAAAAGTCTATACCCCCACATGTTTGCATATCGCCCCCCCCCGTCTTCTCTTCCTTCATATCTTTTATCCAAAAATCTTATGAATTCTCTTTGTCATGAGTCGAAATCAATCATTGAGCAGTGAAAAATATTGGAAAAATCGTCCGCTGAATTTTAGAAAAAGAAACTCGTTTGAACTATCAACTAAATGGGAATAATTACTCCAAGTCCTTACTCGAAGCGTTCTCGTTTCTCTTAAACTTCTCAATTTAAAAAAAAACTTAACAAAACTGCAAATTGAATCTCTATTCGCAAGCAAAAGCTCTCGAAAGAGGAAGTATAAATTCCAAGTGACTGAATGTGGCGTAAAAGCAGTAAAGTACAACATAGAAAAGGAAGTCAAATGGCCAGAAATGAAATAATGTTTACAATGCAACAAAGAAAACTAACAATACAAAAACATTTCTCACCTGATTCATTGACATGCTACTGTAAAATACAGTAGCCACCGAGAAAATGCTCATGATTGTAAATCCGACAGCCAAATATGGAAAGATGGAAAGGCCTAGAATAAACACATTTAAATCTAAAACTGTCAAAGAATAGACGAAATTATTTTCCATGAATTTTGAATTAGTGCAAATTCTCTTTGATCCTCCATCCTCTACTGGTTCATTCAAGGAAAATTCGGAATTCGTGTGAGTCAATGTTTTGTCTGCCCAAGCATCCCCATATGACACCTAGACACATTAAAAAAAACTTTTACCGGTTCTGACAATCTCGTCCGATGTGTATGTCAGCGAAAAAGCGTATATATTCAACAGATCCGATTGCATTTCTCTGAAAAGCGAGTTGCTCTTGAGTTGAGGAAGCAAAAAAAATAAAAAAATGAATTATTTAGAAGATATGCCACTTACTTCTGAAAATAAGCTGATAATCCTCGTTCATAATGTTGTAGATCATATTTATCCCAATCGTCCGGTGGTCCAGCTCGGTACTGCACTCCAACGACTTTTAGAAAGGTTACGGTATGATCAGTGGCATTCGTCTCAACACCGAAGAAATTCGGACTAAGGTCAAGTTTTGTGCCAAGCACTTCCATTGTTGGAAAAGTGAGCGATATCGGTTGATCAAGCTCGGACGAGTTGCCTTTCATCACAAGACCATTCTAAAAATAGAAGTTGCCATGTAAATCAAAGAATGTTCGGAATTTTTCTGTTTTGCGATAGTGTGGTTTTGTCCTTGAGGCAGTACCCAAGCAAATGTGGGTACCTATTTTTTACGTGGAGTTCAATTGGGAGGTCACAATTAAGCTGTTGTCCAAACGGCAGTTCGTGTAAATCCATTCTTGGCCGCGAAAATCAGCATTAAACGCTAGCCCATACCGTACCTTCTACCGTAATCGGTTCGCTGAGGTTACAGTCTGGGCAAAAAATCAAAATCGACTTTCTCGGCCTCAAATGAACCACAGGAACTGCCGCTAGGGCAATGGCTTAGATAAATCCCCCCCCCCACCTCCCCTAGCAGAATCCATTTGAGATGTACAATTTCAGTTTCCAGTACAGGTACCCAGATTTGCTTTGACACCGTCCTTCGGTTTTAATGCCTATATCTATATAAATAAAGCCTATGAGTCCATTTGAATTGTTTCTGTCAAAAAAAATTAATTTTGGAAGCCAAACATCTTCTTGCATTTCATTTCCTCTAGGCAGTATTTACTTTATGAAACACGGTGCTTGTGATCACGAAAATGATTGTTGATTTGACGTGAAGTTAAAAAATCAATGTATCGATCGATTTCTTTGGATCCAAAAGCTAAGAGCAAACGCATTTGATACGCTCTCTTGTATGGTATTTTAGCTTTGTTTGATCTAAAATTATTGTGCAAGAAATAATCAACAAATTTTTTTCAATTTTTTCAATCTACAAAAAAATGCAAGGACAGTCTGACGACGCTTATTCTGGTTGCCAATGCTTCATGTCTATTCAATCGGACAAGGTTTCAATGCCCTCCAGTTTTTGTCCTCCCACATGATGCATGGTTTCCTCTTGCCCCTCTTCAGAGCAACTGGAACGTTCCCAAACAAGTTTTCTATGAGTAACCCATTACGTTTTTTTCGCCCAGAGAGAGTTTTTCATCAGAGAAAAAAACTTTCTTTGACGGCATTGTTTTCAAAAGTGGTCAGAGTCGTCTCTCTTCCTCTTAGCCCAAAATATTTGCGCTGCTCGCATACTTCGTTGAATGACCCTATTGGACGAGTTTTTCCCGTCTATGTGAGGCCATGTGAGGGAAAATTTATGTTTGTGTAAGTACACACATATGGATCGTATGACCTTGGTATGGGATGGTTTTCACGTAGACTATAGAGGCTATGTCTGTTCCGGCGGATATGTATCCGGACAAGTAATTTTCGCAAAAAACTTCAGTAAAAAAGCGAAAAGCGGGGAAAAACTCACGTAAAATTGTCGAATCGGCTCGTTGATTTCGCAAAAATCAGTGCAAAGCGAGTAGAATGAACGACCACGATGAGTGACATTTGTACCGGCATAATCCAACTGTCGTACGGCCTCTTTCAAATGTTCTATTCGGGCCATTGAGCCACCGTCCTTAGCTACGACAAACGCAAAAACAGCGATTGGATCCCGATTCGAGTAGGAGAAAAACTCATTGAACACGGCCATTTCTTCTCGCGATCGGGCTCCTCGGGGCGTGTAGCCTGAATTTTGGGAAGGAAAAATTAGATCTGCTTATGTACCGTTTGAACGGCAGATTCAGCTAAGGTTAATGATTGGAGTCTACGAAAGACTGGATCGATAATGAGTGGGTCATCGGAAGTTCCGATATATGGAAGGTCTCGCAACGGAAGTCCATCGGAAGTTTCGCTTATGTCTACGAAATTTGTGAGGACCACGCTTGACCGCATACTTAGCTCGAATAAATGGCAGTGAATTTTGTGAAAAAATCGCAATGAAGTTGTTATCATCGGAATTTCCGCGGAGCCTGAACAAGCTTCGACAAAGATCTAATCCATCGGAAGTTTTCCTTAAACGTGCAAAAATTCTGGAGCCACTTTTGATGATAGATTCAGCCCAAATGAGTGCTTATGACCGCAATTTCATGACAAGGTTCGCAACACATCAGAACCTCGGGGATTCAAAGGGCTTAAGGAAAATTTCGATAGAGAATGAAACTCATCAAAAGTGGGAGTTCTTCTCATGTTTTGCGGAATTTCCGGCGATCGCATTGGATGACAGAGTAGCTCATATGAATATCGGAAGTCTTATGAATCTCGCAACACAGTCTTCAGAAAACCAGAAGTTTCGCGAGATCGGGGGAGAATTTCGATAGGGTTGTCTTCCATCGGTTTTTCTTAAGTCCTGCGAGCATTTTTAAACCGCATGTTAGTAAATAAGTGGAAGTTGCAGGGAAAAATCAAATCACAACTCGGCCATCGGAAGTTCCGCTGCACATAAGGGAAACTTTCAATGGCGTTGTATTGCACCCGAATTCCTTTAATCTCTTGCGGAGATCTTAAAAAGCCATTAACGACAGCTTAAGCTCAATAATGATCAGAAGTCTCATAAAAAAAGAACAAATCACAGCTAGACCGTCATAATTTCCGCAACACGTAAGCAGAACCCCTGAGGAACCTTCGAAAACCGATTCCTAGTGACTTTTGCTTGGGTCATACATACGCTTTCATATCTAGGGTTGATGAAATTCAGCTCACTCTATCTATCTCACATCTCTTTTTCTTTTCAAACACCCCCCCCCCCCCACCGCCTTCAAATATACCCTAAGCTGTTTGCCGATAAACTCTAACACTACGCAATACGACTATAAAATGTTTTCAATCGTTTGTACATAATAGGAATGTGAAGACCTGTCCACATTTCTAAGTGCAGCCAAAAAGTCAGTGAGTGATTAAATGTAGCCAACAAATGATTCGTTTATTCCACTGGTTCAATAGATTTCTTACTCTTCGAATTTTTTAGGAGATTTACTTTGTTGAATGAGTTTCTCAAGTTATTGGATCGCTTTCTTTTGAAAGAACTGCACGAGACATTGCTAAATTTACGAGCACTCAATTACAGCAACAACTCGAACCAAACCGCCTTTCGTGCCATACCGGAATGACTAAAGTGTAGTGTAGGGTAGCGAAAAAGTAAAGTAATATGTCCACTTAATCGTCTCAGTCATTTTTTCTAAGGTCATAAGAACCATATATGAGAAAAGCAATTGGAACTATAATGCAAGTTTTGCGAATTTTATGGAAACCATAATTTTACAAAAGATCCGATTCCTTTGCAAAAAAGACTGGCTACAGTCTCGCCTTACTAGCATAACTTTAGGGTACGGTATGCTATTTATACGTAAAGGACTAGAAATTTTGCTGATCATCTAGAAGAAAAAAGTACTTTTCTATTTCCCCTTCTCGCTTCTCATAAATTCGCAATATTACTAACAACTTGTCATTTTTATTCAGGAGATTTTTGCAGCACTCACCATTGGAAGTTCCTTGTCTTACCTACACCCTCTGCCCTACCCTTCCACTCTTGGATTTTCTATAGATTCGATTTGAAAAATCGCTTGATACAAATTTCAAAGCACTGCAATCCAGATTTTATCATTATTGTCACATTTTTAACGGCATCTTAAGTCAGTTTCAAAAAAAAAATATGGATACCCAGTCTGTTACATGGTACCTGTTTGGTGATCTCTAGCTAATCCATTCAGAAATTCACTCTCAATCCCCACCGGGGCCCGGCGTGAGCCCGTCTTTCTAGACTTTTTGAAAACGAAGTCCTCCCTGACTTTCCCAAAATTTTACAGTCTTTCCTGACATTCGCAAAATTTTACAAAGTCCCCTGCGACCCTTTTCGGAAACGACTAAAAATCTAATAACTTGTGTTTTTTCGTTTTTTTGGACCCGCAATTCGCTTTTTCGCCCCGAAAACAATGTCCAGCCTGCTTCCAAACATTCTGGCCAGGTCCTGCCCCCCCCCCCCCAATCTTTCTATTCCATCTCCCGCCCGGCCATCCTTCAACCGCGGTCTTATAGCTCAATCAACCATACGTCATAGAATTCAAATGACGCAAATTCTTACGACGAAAAAACCGGAAGTCTCGCGGTGAACTTGTGGTTTACACTTGCGTATAGCGATGAACCGCGATAAAAACCCGGGTTTCTACAGGCCCCCTTTGTGCGGGTGAGAACATAGGAGTGAAAGGCCACTATGCCTTAAGTCATCGCTACGAGAAAAATATCAAACGAACCTGTTCGAATATCATCTTGTTGAGGAGTGAAAACGATCTTCACTGAACAAATGACGGTTAGTAGCAGTGTGGCCTGAAATGGAGGTAATTTGAGTAGGGTTTTAGCGAGAAAAAAAAATGTTCGTGAAGGGAATGATTGTGAGATATTCCTGAGCTAGCTTTTGCTTTCGGTAATCTGTTTATTTGCAGAAGAATATTGATTTTTTCAAAAACTCCGGGTATTAGAAGATTCTTGTAACACACTTCTTCGAATGCAATTATTAATCTGGATCAATTTGGGTTCATAAGGTTTTTAGGCGCAAAATGATTGGTAGGTCTTGAACTAAGCCTTGCTCAAGAGGAGCTCGCAAAATTTATTCGGGCGGGGTAAGTGGCACCACTCTCCCCAATACCGTACTCCTTTCGAGTAAACCAATCAGCATTTTCGATTACGATAGTAGACAAACACCCTAAAGATGCTCTTTTACTATCTTCTTAAACACAGAATTTTAGCGTAGAACGCTTAAATGATAAATTTGGTCTAAGCATTCCCCGTATTTGGTCCACTTATGTGATTACAAGGGGTCACTCTCATTTTATACGAAGCTTCCCCCTCCCCACCCCTTTCGCTCAATGGAAGTCTAGGATCTTTCTAAATGCACACCTCCATAAGAGCCCTATTTTATTACTTTGTTTTCGTGCTTCAGAAAATGCGAAAAAGCGAGGGAGAAGAAGAATAGGTCTCAATGTTTTGTATTATTGATGTTTTATTCCTGACTTCTACTAAGCAACCAAGAAATGACCTCCATGTAAAGTGATGACAACCGACTTTTTTTGTTTCATATTTCCTCCGAACTGATCACAGTAATCACTAGAGGTAACTGTAGCCGTGTCACATTCTAATATGACTGATTCAAAATGCTATTATTTTTGGCACGTGTTTCCAGTTCCAGGAAAGTATTCAACTGTTACAATTCTTTCTATTTCTTCTAGCAAGCGATTGTCTTTCTATTTCTGAACATCCGCCAGAAGAGTAGATGTAAAGATGAAAGGAAATGAAAGGACAAACAAGATTGGGAAGGTTTTTAGTCTGCCGCAATGGCTCTAGTGGATCTGAATACACTGAGAAGCACCATAGATCAGTTTCAGCAGTTTTTTAGAGGTCTGCCGGTCTGCGGCCAGTTAGAAAACGGGGCAGCAGACAAGCCACTTCATTTCTTCGCTGAAGACTAATTAGGCTACGGATTGTAAGCTAAGATTCCCATGGACTGGAACAAAAGCTAGTGGAAAACTTGCTCTATCATTTTTTCAATAGAAGTCCAAATTTTTTTCCCATAAAAAGTGCATAGATGCATTCCTAAGATAAACCTTTTTTTGGGACAATAACCGCCTTTTGTTCGTGTCCGCTTTTTTCGGCTATCCAAAAATCTTCGTGCATCTGCATGGCGTTGTAAAAAAAGCATCTTAGTGCACATTCGGCAAAATTTATCGCAATCGCTCAATGAACTCTTCTAGCAACAAGATTGATAATGATAAGGAATGCTGTTCTATCTCTCACATGGCATCATCACAGCTCGCACCTTTGCTGTCGTTTGAAAGAAACCAACTGTTTCCGTTTCATAAAATTTACAGCAGTTGTTTTGAAAATTGAGGCATTGAAATTGTGACCGATAAAGCAACTTGATGCGAGATAGATATTTGAAAAAAGCAGAATGGATCAGGAAATCTTTTCACAAAACGCAACTTAATGCTCTTAGTTTATACTAGCAAGGCTTCTGATAAAATGTCTTTCTATATTGCCAATAGATATACGTTTCATCGTAGAGTGGAAGAGCTTGAAAACTCGGAATAAAAATTTTTGCACCTAAAAATTTAGCGAAATAATCAATATCGAGAGAAAGCCCTCGGCAAGGAAATAGTGACCTCACGTAGAGCATTAAAATAATTCGTCATTCTTCAAACTAATTTTTGTTTGCTACGCTATACTTTAACTTTTCTACTTTTGAATAGTTGCAAAAACATTCTAGGTATCGTAATCACAATTTTACATTATAAATGTCAATTTGTATAATAACCTGAAACGAAACCATGGAATAGAGTCAGAAATATACGGAATAATATCACCTCCCTAGCTTCCCCGAGAATAGGGGGAAATGATTTCGAAAGTAGTTTGTATAGGTCGCAAAATAAGCCAAATGAATTTTTTATCTGTAAATACTACCAGAATTATCCCACAGCCATAATCCCGTCACCTATCTTTTTTGAACCAGATTGGCAAGCCACGAAAAAACCTCTAAAGGGACTATACGTTCACTACTCATCATTCTGTAGAATTTCTCAAATCCAAATATTTCTAGGGCCACCAATGGTAATTATGCTTTGTTATTAATTTGCATTTCTCTAAATAATCATAAAACAATTTCTTTCGCATCGTGTATCACATGCTCTCAGTAAATTCATGCTTTTTTTCTAATAGCGAGGGTCCTGTTTAGTGCACTGATGATAATTTGTGATTTGCCATCCATTGTATATTGATGTTGTTGTTCATTTGAAATATAGTTCCCATTACTTTCAGGCAATCAGCATTTCCGTCAAATTTCTTTGGCAAAAGAATGCCAAATTGTCTCATAACATGCATAGTGGTGACCAACTTCTTATGTTCGCCGATGACAGACGAGCGCACAGACTTGAAAAAGACCATTTGTTCGTCGAACCAAACTGCGCTGAATGAATGGATCAGCTGGAGAAATTGTTTTGAAACTTTTTCATGGTGCAAGCAATAGCTTTTCGCAGAATGTGTAATTAACAGCGAGGAATCCAGCTCAACGGTCATGCTTGGAGGCTCATTACAAGATTTTATTCATTCTATCATACTAGGAGAAAGAAGAAGACTCGAAAAAAGAGCGTCGTCAAATTGTCTAGGAAAAGAAAAGATAATGGATTGTAACTGGACGCACACAAACTGTAAACGATTCATTCAACAAATACCGAAGCAGAAATTTGCTAGTCATATCTACCTCATTTCGCCCGCGAGCAAGAAAAAATGCAATATATTGATTGATAGAAACTGATCTAGCCAAAAGTTCTGACTAGCCACTTCACCAAAACTCCCCAAGAACAAGTAAAAATCAAGGTATCAATTGATATTGATCAATAAAGCAAATTTTACAGAAGCTACTTAGCTTTTGTTTTACAGCACAGCTTTGACGAGCAGAAAAAAATCAATATATTGATTTATATGTGAAAGTCAAAGCAGTCCCTCACACCTTTGTTCACAACACTCTTTCATGAGCAGGAAAAATCAATATATATCGATTCACAAATATCAAGATGACCAATCTCTTCAGCCAGTTCCCATAGCCAAAGAAATCCTGGCACAATGCCATGTCTTACAAAAAATATGATTAATAAGTTTGCGGACTTTTGTGTTTTGTGCTCAGTGTCATTTCGTTGCAGATCTCTGAAGAAAATGTCGGAAATGGTTGTTGTAATTTCTCACCATAATGATTCACGGGTCATGTTTATTTCATTCAAAACTGAAAAATTAGCTAATTTTTGGTAATGTATTAGGATAGTTTGAGATCTACCTTAGAAAAATTCTCTTATCACTGCTTAAGCAAAAAAGCGACGGAAGACAAAGAATTTCGCAATTAAACCTGCAGTCAATAACAATCAATAAATCGATTTCCTGATAGAATTTTTTTGGCAGTTACCATTCCAATGACAAGCCTCCGCCTTTAGCGATTCGTTTCTTATTTGGAAATAAGAAAATTGTTATGATGATTTTTTGCTATTACTGCTTTTGTCAAGTCCTTCTCAGTTGGTTGTATATGCCTTCAACACGGAAATCGATATATTGATTTCTTCACTCAAACTGCATAGAAATTGGAACAATGGTGTTACTTTCACTTTTATCCATTTTCCTTGAAGGCATCCATACAAATTTGATTCTTCATGCAGTCTCATTATACCAAAAATCAATATATTGATTTTTTGGCTAAATGAGAAAGACAGGTAGAGGCAAAGTTCTTCTGCACTGTTATCAACGCTGTCCTTGAACATTTCTCCATCAAGTCCCTCAACTCTCAATCTCTCTAACGCACTTTCCTCCCCTCCCTGAAGAAAAAAATAGCAAAATGCAAAGGAAAGTCTTGTATCAGCCGTACTATTCAAAGACTTGTTCTGTTTTTTTATGGTCCAGTACAAGATCGATATATCGATTTTTTGTTTTAACATGAGCGATATCAGCATAGTACGACAATTTTTCGCCTTGCAGCTATTTCCTTCCCCAATTTGTCCCGTCTCTTTCCCGTCAGAGCAAACATATCGTAACCGAATCTCACACAATCAAAGGATTGATCCAATTGCTATGCAGCAAAATGGCCATCGTCATTTTTTGCACCACACGACGGCGACGTTATAGGGGGGGGGATCACGTCTGCATTTACGATTGACGCACATCAACCATTGTCGGCGACGTCGTCGAGAAATGACCGAGTTTTTTTCACGGCACGAACGAGTCGAAAAGCCGTTATATCCGTCAACTTTGGGTTTTATACGACTTATTGGGGCAATTGTCATTTAATGAGAACTATATGGGCTGCTTGGTCTTGGTTTAGGCATTGGAGAAGCAGGACAATGGCGCGAGGGGGGGGGGGGAGAGAAAGGTAGAAGGGGAGACAATCAGAAATTGGGGAGATTGGATAGAGTGCATGTAACACTAATGTATCGATTTCTCTATGGTTGAATGGAATAATCAATATATCGATCTCTAGTAGAAAGAGCGTAACAATTGAGTATTTGACTGTAGTCATGAATGCGAGCGCTTGGCATCGGAGTGATTACTTCAAATTTTTTCATTTTTCGCACTTCCTGTCAGAAAATCGATTTATTGATTTTTGTCCGCAACTACACCATGCAACACCTCCATAGTTGATTCTAAAAAATCAATATATCGATTTCTGCTATAGAAAGCGTAATAACTGAGAAGACTTTGACAAATGTTTTAATGAATGCAAGGGTTGGACGTGATTGATTGCTGCTGAAAGTTTTTTGGTTAAAACATTTACTTTTCGCACTTCCTGCCAGAAAATCGATTTATTGATTTGTGTCCTCAACTACATCATGTAACACCTATATAGTTGAATTTGAGAATTCAACAAATTTCTGCTAATTAGCGTGACAACTAAGAAGGATCTGACAAATGTACTTATGAATGCGAGGGCTTGGCATAGGAGTTATTACTGCTGAACAATTTCGATAAAATACACTTCTTTTTCGCTCTTTGCCAAAAATCGATTTATTGATTTCGTCGCCTGCTTGAATTATACGCATGATTTTCTTTAGAAAAATACACACCCCAAACTCGAGCAAGGTTGGCCCCGACAAGAAAGGAGGTTTACAAGAAAACTGATTGCCTCGAATGCCCTTTTAATCTCCTCCAAAAGTACCTTTCTGATTCAAAACAACTTGATTCTGTTCGCCAACCTACACTTATACGTCATTTGCACTCTGTAACGACATAGAACATTCCAACAACTATCCAAAACATTCTTCAAAGTGCACAAAATGACGCAAATATGCGGAACAATCTGGAACCTTCGCCGAACGTGCAAAAGTTCATTTGCAGAAGAAGATTCGATTCCGTACCCTACGCGGCGGAAGTCCAGTAGACTTTGCCCTTGACTGGAGCGAAAACTGGATCGACACTGTGTAGGGGCAAATGGCTATTGGGAACGACCACGAAGTTAATAGAGAAATCGGAAAAAGTCACGGCAAGAAATTATTGATAACAGTTTTGATGTTTTATTGAGAAACTGTTTCTGATTTGAAGTGTAGTTCGGTATAAAATTTGGAAAAGAGTTATTCTCTCTCTATCTGGGCTTCAGGGATACGGTAGGATTGAAATGCTGAAATTGAAACGTAAACCTGCATATGGTTTATATTTTTATCATTACAAAAAAAGAGTTATTCTTATTATTAAGTTGGTTAATAAATATTTTCGGCCCCTACAAACGCTGCAGACAATTTTTTGTTTTTCGCTATCTCTGGAAAGAGCACTTCAATAAGGAAATGGAATGTAAAACCTGTTTGAGTAAAATTCAATTTTTGATGGTAGAAATCCGCAAAGAAGTGAGAAACCCTAATTTTCTCACGGTAAAATTTCGTTTATGGTCAAAGAATTTGAAATGGCAGTTCGCAATTTTTATAGTTATTCGCCTACTAGGGGAAATTTGTATCCAAAGACCAAATTGCTATTCTCTACATCCATTACAGCAAGAAAACGAAGCTTAGAAAGCAGCAGAATCGAGCTTTTGGAATTTTAGCCATATTTTGGCATAAGTGTCTCTTACCAATAGATATAAATTCTGAATAGCTGATATGTGGTAGAAGAAGCTTCGAGCTAGTTTTCCAAAAAGAATTATGGATAAAAAACTACTAGCAAAGTTTCTATGAAAATTTTTATGCCAAAACGAAGTTCATTTTTAGTCAACCTAGTATTTTGTAAGTGGCTGTAAAGTTAAAATTTCAATTCCCATGCCCAGCATCTTACAAAAAATTGAATCGAGGGTGAGCGAAGAAAAAACCTATGATTTTCTATTTTCCAGATAGATTTGAGAACAATGAGAATTAATAGCAAAAGGATTCATGGAAGGGCGAGGTGGAATGAGAAGGGAAGGAAGGGAAGAGAGAGGTGGAAGAAAAACACAAGTGCCCTTTAGGATTCTTAAATTGGCAGAAATGAGTCATAGGTCCAAAAATCTTGAAATTAACATAGTGCATTGTGCCGTAAATAGAAATCAAATAGTTGATCTTAAAGATTTATAGGAAGAGGCATAAAAGGAATGTAGAGGGATTAGGGAACAAAGGATAAGCGCCTTATAAGCTCAGTACCAATTTTATGAGGTATAAACTAAATCTTTTTTACCCTTTCTTGTAATTTGCGTTTTGTGCTAAATGCCTATAGGAATCTAAATGAAACAACAGCTGTTTCTGACAAGATAGTAAATCAAAGAGTTTTTTTGTAACATTAGTTTCCATGAAAAGATTCGAAGTGTAATGTACTTGTGTCTCAGAAATGTCAACATAATTTTCTGATCGGAAACTCTCGACTTTGCCCAACTCAATGCCACAATCGTCAAGTCAATTCAAAACATTTGTTTTCGATTACTTCATGCTACACAGCACATGACAAATGGCTTTGTTCACGGAAACCTCTTGATGTAATCGAAATTGGAGAACAAACAGAAAAAATTGTTGTTTGGTTGTTAGCGCGCTCGGCGCGACGACACGAATCACGCGTCATCAAAGCAATCTAAATGCTTTGACGTTTCTTTCGCCTCTTCTTCTGGAGGTCATCGTCTCGTGATCGAGGCCACTGAAGCACCCACGCGCGCGCAAGAGAGCGCGCCGGCGGCTGCCGCGCGGCTACTACGCGCGTAAGGGCAGTTTTTGTTGTGTGTTTGCTTTGAAGCTTGTTTGCGATTCACAAGGACAGCTAAATTGGCATTGTCGAACAGTTCGTGGCTTGAGAAATAGTTCAACGAGACTCGCAACGAACATTTTAAGCGTTGTGGAAGTTTGGGTACGGTAAGTAGCGGTAGAGACGAGGTAGAGCCATTCGGTAAAGTTCCAACTAATCGAAGTTTGCAAGCGTTTTTGAAAATGGTAAAATGTTACGAAAGTTTCTACAGAAAACGCTGAACCACTCATGTAGTAAAAAACTTAACCTTCCTTACAACAATTTTCTAGGAAAAATAATAATCCAAGACTGTTCTTTTTTTCATTTAAAAGCAGATTCAAGTGGTAGAGATCCCCTTCCCTCTTTTCTGCAAAGGTCAAGGGTCCATGCTTTGGAGGGTGAAATTATTCATTTCTAATCCAAATAGAATATTTGTGAATGAGTGTTGCCTCTCAAAAAATCAAAATTGATCATTCTACCTCTTTATTTGCGTTTTTTCTGATGCAAGTGCGCTTTCGAAATCTTTTCGACACCAAGATGCAAGCGTTCCTTCATTCATAACTAAGGTTTAAATATTTGTAGAGCAAAAGTGGTATTTTGTGTCCCCAGAATAACAATAAGATTTGCCTTGAAAAAATTATTATATCCTTCTTCCTTTCTCGGCGCTCATCACTACCTCTAAGCTTCACACTGAATCAAAAGGGCGTGTCTAGAAAGCTCTAGTGTGTAAAAATCCTAGAATATGATGGAAATATTTCATTGTGAATTTAGTCTGACTTCTTTGTAATTTTCCTCATGATCATTCAAATAAAAACAAGTCATTTACATGACTCTATATCTCAAGTAGACCACTCTTAGAGCGTCCACCCGCTCCCCTCCGTCTTTCGATCCCTCATTGGCTAGCGCCTTCAATACCATAAGGATTGGACTACTTTCATTCTGTAGGATCTAAGACCATCACTGGTAATTCTACTTTCAGCAACTCGCATAAAAACCCTCAGATCCCTTTATATAAATACGGCTTGCGACACAAATCGTTTCCCACACACACACACAATCGGGGCCTATTGGCTTTTTGCCCAAGATTTGCACGACTCGCACCAACCGTTCGTGAACTAGAACCTTTAATCATAGAAAAACACGACGACTTGTGCAGTAATCGACAGAATCTGCGAAATGGACACAATGAATGGAAAAAATCATCATGTGGTATTGGAGAATGTTCTGAATTGTGTTAGGGGGGCTGCAAAAAGAGTGAAGTCATTTTGATGGCTGAAAGAATGAAGCACAAGAGTCACACAAGGGGAATGAGTTCTCCTTTAGGGAGAATTTTCATTGTTGTTGAAGAGTTTAATGACTTTTACCTGCAGCGTAGACGGTACAAGCATGTGAAAGACTTTGCAGATGGAAAAGTTTTTTCCAAGGACAACTCGTCCAATGCCATCATTTGGTTGAAATGGTACTTGGTTTTGCGGGAGATTGCTCAGTATTGGACGAGATCTCTGCTCCACAGGTAGGCCAGGCAATCTAGCCAGTATCGGTAGTTTGGTCAAATCTATTATCTTCACATTTAGTCTTCAAATATTTCCAATAATTCTCGGTGCAAAAAATTACTTTCCTTATTTTTTCGGCGTTTTTACTTATTTAATGTTCTTAATCAAATGGAATGGTTCCTTTCTATTTCCTTCCTCCTCCTTTATCTCTTCTGATTCAAAACTCCCTAATAATTTCTCCTTTTCTACAGGTAACCTACTCCTTCTCTATCACTTGTAAAAAAAAACTTAAGACTATATTCAACACATAACAAGACTAAATAGGCCCATTAACATACGGTTGTAGTAAAACGCTCGTAAACAACACGATTTGCAGGTCTCACATTACGTAACCTTGAATTTTTGAATCACGATAATATCTCTCGTAATCGGACAGAAGTTCTTCCCGGGGGGGGGGGGGGGGGGGAGAGATTTCTACAGTTTAGCATCCCCTATTCCAACCTCCGCCTCAGTCCGCTCTCTCTTATATCGTAATCCCTCTGAGACTCTTTTTCTGCTGAGAGAGAAAGCCGGTGATTGTCTTCAAATAGAAACGAGCTATAAAGTTTTAAGTGAGCCTAAGTAGCCTGCTTTGGGTACGATAGAAGTGAGGAGGTTACGGTAGGTAGGAAAGTGGTGGTATATGCACACACAACTGTATGAACTGAAGAACTGACCTAAGACAGAAGGAAAGAAAACTTGAGAAAATAAGCTGGAGATAAGAAAATGCCAAAAAATCCTGGAAATTGCTTACCGCTAGTACGAGTTTATCGTGATCAGCAACAAATAGTCCTAACCTCCGAAATAGATAGTTCAATATACGAACGAACACCGGCGATGCCACCGCCGACTTCGTCGCGTGCGCAGTCATTTTGGACTTAGGGACGTGGGCGGTGCTAGGCGCGATTCGAGGGGGGTTGCGGGTCGTCGAAATTGTAGTCGTCGCGCCAGCGTAGCCACCAGAGATGGCGATGACAGCGAAGACGAGACGATCAAATCAGGGGCGGGGTTAAACGGGGCTGAGGCCGGGGGGGGGGTGAAATTCGTATGGAACAGCTACGGAACGTAAGCGATGGTACAACCGCCACAACGTAGCCACAGTGTCGGAGGCTACGCTAATGACGTTTGTACTTCGGCGAGGTAGGGGGCGGGAACGGGGGGGGGGGGGGGGGGCTCTGAGAAAATGGAGAGAAAGGTCTAAGTGGTAGTTCGCTAAAAGGTGAAATCGCTTGCTAAAACAACGAATGCAACTTAAGTGTTGCGCACATCGCGCACGACCCACATTTTGCGCTAAAGAACGTCTTCATGATCAATGTTCTATACGCGTGTCGACTTCTTTTGCAAGTTTTCTTTGCAGAGTTTGTCCTATGGGACACTTTTTTCTCCAAAATGGACATCCGGTGCAATCCCAAGCAATGGAGGAATGCGCCCTTTTGCACAGTTTGCACCAAGTTTATGAAAGGCGGTGGTTGCGAAATTTTAACACTCAACACCTGGATGGCACATAAGTACAATACCGCTCACATTTTTTTCACATTCGCGTCTATTTTTCAAAAAATGCTTTCATATATCTCTTGTCTATTTATCTTTGATTTTATTCTTTCACACTTCGGTATTATAAAGGTTATGACCTATGCTACAAGTGCGACCATTTTTCCGAGATTCATCATCTTATATAAGGGTTACGATAGGTTTACGGTATATAGAGCAAGATTATAGATCTTTAGATTCTTCTGGAACTTGCTCAGACAATTCACCGAAACTTCCGCAGGACAAGCAGGGCTTGCAGCGGTTCCGCAGCACTTTCATAGCCGTCGAGCAGGGTTTCCGCAGGTTGGACGTTAGAGCGATCGTAAACCGGAACTTCCGCACTCCCTTAATCATAGCTAGATGGAGCCCTCTATTTGGCATGTTGAACACAGAAAAGCATATCCATTCGGCACGAAAGGGCTACATTTGTGAAGTTGAGGTATGATTTATCACCTTAACATCAAATAAATTTGATGTTCGCGTTCAGTATGTCGAACTACCCCAATGTGGGAAATCACGGCAAATTCGTTTTTGCAGCTTAGTTATTGACGGATGCTTTCCAGATTTGACGCATTCAAGTTAATCAGCATCTCAAAAGCACCGCCAAGGGCGATATTTATCAATCTCCTATTTGGGAAGGGGTTCCTGTACAGGTCACAACCCCTACAGGCACGGGCACTGAAGCCCCGACACACGAAACAAGTTGATTATTGGGCTCCTGTTTGTTTGAAGATATGGTCCGATCTGGCGAATTTGGCCATGTCGGACACGGCAGGTGCTCGGTCGGGCCACAACCCTCAAACTTTCATAAATCATTGATGGCGACCACTAGCTAATAATAGCCCGAGATTGATAGTGAGAGATTGATAAACAGCACCCCAAATCTCAATCTGACTCCAAATTCCACTTCCTTCTTATTGAGTTGAATGAATCAGCCTTCGCCTACAATCTCGTCTTGACATGCTTGGCTCAGGTTGTGCACGACCTCATTTTCGCTGAGAATGGTAAAATCCCGATTTCCAAGGCTTGAAATGCTTGGATTTTTTTGTTAAGCAAACAAAAACGGTTTATGCAGTCTTGTTGCTTACATCGCAATCTATACAATGGTATAATTATACCATCTTAAGAATGAGGAGCTACACTGAAATGAAAATTATCACTAAATTTGCAAAACTTAGTGCCAACCTAATACTTTACCTTGCGAAAGATCCAAAGACAGTGTTATGAATCTGGATCCTTCGCTATTATGTAAAATTGATCAGGCCTCAAAACCTTTGCCCAGACAGGCACATTTGATTCTTTCGTGTTAGAGTAGATCCTATACCTGAAGACGCTGATTGGTCGCTCGCGAAAAATACTTGCTGAGCGAAACTTAACTAAAGTTTTCGAACCACATATACGTTGTAAAAGCACAATCGGCTTTTGTGCACAGTTCTTCGGACACTCCGCACAAATAATGCCAGCAGATATGCCTTGAAAAGCTATAGGTGTTACCTTGGAAAAATTGCTCTATAGTTTGTGCTCGTTTCTGAAAAAGAGTATTTTAGAGAAGAAGTCCAACAAATATTTACTCGAATATTCGACTTTGTTTGAACCGTAACAGGTTATTGAAGGAACACCTTAGACATGCCCGATATTTCGCCAAATGCTGTCTTCGGAGGCCTGAAAGTGAGTCAATTACCATTAACCAAACGATACAAACCATTAGACACCTCCCTAAACCATGTATTTGACTCACCTATGGTGACGTAGATAAGCTCTTAGATTGAACAGCTTACCAAGTCCTTGTTGAGAAGTGTTAGGATGATAGCTCTGTCTCACGGTCGCCCACAGCAGATGATAACAGAATGAGCGGTTTGGTTAAGAGCACTGGGCATATGCTGCAACTCGCCCCTACCTGCGTTTATTTTTAGATTACGAACAAATATGATTGAAGCCGTTAACTAAGTGACTGACTCACTTTCAGGCCCTCAAAGATAGGATTCATCGAAAGCACTGGATAAATATAGTGTTCAGTTCAAAAGCCGTAACGATGTGAATAAAATTGAAGAATATCTATCAAACAGGCCAAGGTTTTACAAAGAGGACTCACATCTACTCGTATATTGCTCCTAAAAAGCCGCAAAAGCCTAAGTTTCACTTAAATACCAAGAATATATTCTGGAATACTTGGCAATGAGCACTCTAGGATTTCAGGCATTTTCCCGGGAGCGCCGCGGAGATTGCCCGATCACCAAATCATCCTGCCTCGAACTACCCGGTAACGACATTGCACCCGAAAAGTGATAGCCGACGCCCTCTGTAAGTGCCATTTAAGCACTTGACTCTCTTACTTGGAAGGCTTAGGAAGAATGGATGAACCATTGAGCCTCGTAGGATCAAATTTAAGAAATCATGCTCAATCTCGTAAGCACTTAGGGCAGCCCCACCGTTGCGACGTACCTCACGCGGGTTGCGCCTTTCCCTAAATTATGTAGGAACGGCCTTTGATAAGCCCGCGGCCCACCAAGTGATTTGATTGGGGCCCCGGCGCTCCTATAATCTCTTCCCAAATCCAAACTTGGCCGCGGCTTTCCCAGTAAAATATACATGCTACGGCGTATGAGGCTGAAATTTCAAGGGTCGCGGCTTGTCAGACGAAGATTGTAAAAGATCGCGCCCCATTTAGCACCTTTGAGGCAGCGATCTTCCCAAGCAATTGTCTAATTGTAAGATACAGATGTATCTCGATATCGTTTTTGCGTTTTGACTTCTGCGTAAGATTAGGTTAAATACGAGTAAATACTGGATATTGAGACCTAGCGTCAAAGGTTCAACAATCGTTACCCTCATTTCATTAAACTTTTGCGAGTTTCCAAAAGTTTCCTTTGGAGAACGTCCAAATGGTTGACCGACTACCTTCTCAAGCGTAAGAAGCTCTCTTAAAGCAAAAATTCTACACCCGTCTTTTCCACGAATAAAATTGTTGAGGTTACGGAAGGTGCGGAACATGCGTTAATATTTAGAGAACGTGGCTTACGACTCTTTACGGCAGATATCTCTATGACCTTCACCCCTACTTTTTGGCGACTTTTGTTGTCCTAACGTTATGCCGTTGTCAAGACGTCGGTAAGCTTTGTATGTGATTCCTTGGATGGAAATTCGTATGTCCTCATATTATTTTTTAACTTTTCCATTGTGTCTTATTTTTTGGCCTAATTTATTCTTCTTTTACGTAGTGGCTTTTCCTGTTGCTCTACTAATGAGTGTTTTTCTTCTTCTTCTTCTTTTTTACGGATTTCCGAGCTTGCTGCTCCCATATACTTGGTATTGAACCAAAGATCCGATTTTCTTTGAAGGTCTATAGTCGCTGTAGATAAAATCTGGTAAATAACTGCCGATTAATATGTCCATCTTTTGAAACGAAGCGCTAATTTATTAGGAGTCTGTTGGTGGCTTTAATGGATTGTTTCGCTCCAATCTGTGAAGATCTAATCTAATCTTCTAAGTTTTCGATCTCTGGTGTTCTAATAAGAGACAACAACAACAACAACAACTTCCTTCTGGGAACTCATTCAAAGAACAAAGAACTTACTGTTTCTTCTCCTTCCTCGTTACCTTTCTGATTTGTACCTGCAAATGTGGCTACATCAGGGAAACGTTGTCAGACGGTGTTACGACATAAGCCTTAGTCACACTTTACGACCTGTAGCCTTTTACAAGACACCTTTTTGCAAAAAGTAGAGTCATGTGAACGTACCGCTAAGGGCAAGCAGTTCACTTTTTTTCGATTTGTGAGTTGGACTTACTTTAGTGTACAGTGTGACCAGCCAGCTGTTTGTCAAGTTGGACTATTTGAGATCTAAAATCTCCTTTTTAGCTCAACTTTTTTGCAGTTCTAATTTACACAAGCAAAATTTTGTTCTCACACTCTTTTCGGTACTGAGGAACATTTAGACCCAAAAAATTTCTAAAAGACCGAATCAAAGACGGCACCGCAGTATATCACAAGATACACTGAGTTTTGTGGTCCTATAATTTTTTTGCAAAAACTCGTAAATTTTTTTCATTGAGCCCTATCGTACAGGAATCTTTTGGTCTTCTTGAGGAAAGAAGACTTCTCATATGACCACAAATAACCAAGTAAAGTTCGTCATTGCCTTACGGCGGAAATTGTGACAAATCACAAATTACGAATGTGATCACTTTCTTGAGAATTCGAAAGCAAATCAAGATTACAATGTACACTAGCACACGAAAACATCTTTCACTATAAACGGAATTCAGTACCTGGATACAACAACTGAACATAACCTGCTCCTATCCCTTTGTTCCATTCTCAAATTGAAATCAGCATGGTTTCCAAAAGATAAAATAGTCACAAAACCTTCGTATAACCTGATTTTGAAAGACACCTCGAAATTGTTCAAATACCTCTTGTAAACGGTTTTTTAGAGTTTTTGTTCATTTTGTGAAGTAAAGTTCCTGACAGGTGAAGCGCTTTTTCAGTGACCCCTGTTCCCCGAAAATTACATAACAATCTCGGAGTACAGGCCAATCAGCACTGCCTGGTGGAAGAATAGTGCGCGTTTGCAAATCACTCTTTGACAAACTTCAAATTTGTTAAAATTTTCATTTTTGAACGTAAAGTAAAAAAAACAGCAAATATTCGCAGTTCGTCTACTGGCATACTCGGCTAATCATATAGCAAATGAGTAAATCTTGTTAAATAACACACACAATTTTTCCAGTGTAGTCCTCGTTGAATCAAGCTCCTTGCAAGGTTTTAGTATGGATGGCAACTAGCCTATCTTGTAGCCGCAAGCCAGTAGTACAAGAGCGAATGGAGATAGCTTGGGCGAAGAAAATGTGCGAAAAGAAGAGGATCTAAAATTGCCAAATGAAAAATTCCAATATTTTGTGAATGTTCTTTGCAGGAAACCAAATGGAATAATTTGGTTTTGAGTGTATGTAACTAGCCAAAGTTCTGTAAAACTGTAAACTATTAGGTTGGTGCAAAAGTTCGTTCGCACCAAATTCAAAAATTCATAACTTGTTGAATTCTCTACGAATTTGCGAGACCTAAATTTTGCTTGAGAGAGGAAGTCATGCTCTTTGGTTACCTGAAATGTTCGTTAATGTTTACAAATGAAGGAGATAGAAGCTCAAAACCAAAATCACTCAAAATTTGAATTTTTCGTGTAGGGTCATAAAAAATCGGAAACTTGCAACAAAAATCGGAGCAGTCTGTTTTGTAGGTTTTTTTACCAGCTCTTTCCAACAGTGCAAAGTTTGCGCCGATTGAGCGTATCTATGAAAAGTTATGATTTTCGAGCAAGCAATACAAAAGGGCGAATTTGATTTATTTTGGCATTTTTCAGGAAAATCATAACTTTTAATAGAGATGCTCAATCGACGCAAATTTTGCACCATTAGAAAGAGCTGGTAAAAGAACCTATAATACTGCTGCTCCGATTTTTGTTGCAAGTTTCCGATTTTTTGTGACCCTACACGAAAAATTCAAATTTTGAGTGATTTTGGTTTTGAGCTTCTATCTCCTTCATTTGTAAACATTAACGGACATTTCAGGTAATATGCAAAAAGCATGAGTTCCTCTCTTAAGCAAAATTTAGATCTCGCAAATTCGTTGAGAATTCAACAAGTTATGAATTTTTGAATTTGGTGCGAACGAACTTTTGCACCAACCTAATAGTTTACAGTTTTACAGAACTTTGGCTAGTTACATACACTCAAAACCAAATTATTCCATTTGGTTTCCTGCAAAGAACATTCACAAAATATCGGAAGATTTTTCATTTGGCAGTTTTAGATCCTCTTCTTTTCGCAGATTCTCTTCGCCCAAGCTATCTCCATTCGCTCTTGTACTAGTGGCTTGCGGCTACAAGATAGGCTAGTTGCCACCCATACTAAAACCTTGCAAGGAGCTTGATTCAACGAGGACTACATTGGAAAAATTGTGTGTGTTATTTAACAAGATTATGAATGAATTTGGTGTTATGAATTTTTGAATTTGGTGCGAACGAACTTTTGCACCAACCTAATATAGGTAAATCAAAGCTAGGAGGTATAGGTAAATCAAAGCTAGGAGGCTATTCTAGATATAGCGACTTTCAGTTGATGTCAATATGTGCGAATCTATTCATTTTATACCATAGATAGAAACAACTTGACTCAATCTTGAAATTGTAAAGTTTGGCTTATCCGAAAAGCTTCCATCGGTTGACACAATATATTTGGAGACAGATATTTCAAGACTAGTGTCTCTTAGATCCTGCTTCAAACGAGACAATTGCTTACTGCTCAACAGATAAAGTTTGTTTCTAATATTTCTAATCGCATCTTGAGCCAGGTCGTCATTGAGCACACCAGTAATGTAGCAACTTGTTTAAAAAGACAGATGCGAATGAAGTAGTCCCTCAAAATAAATGTGAGGACATCGGCATGATTTCCAGGTTTTTTGGTAAATTCGGCATAAATTCCAAGATGTGAATACATTCCAGCATTTTACAAAAAGTGGCTCCAAAATTCAGCAACACATGGCGGCGGATCCCTATTCGCAACGCAAAATCCATTCCCATATCATTTCGTGCAGCTCTCTTTTATAAAGGTGAAGAAAGCGTGAATATTTTGAAAAAAATTTGTCCAATGTTATTTTGAGAAATCTCTTTTTGAGGACTGTGGTAGTGAACCCCGAATTATCCTGCACTTAGTCCTGCTTTTACATTGGGAGAAAAGAATTGATTTTTTTAGCGGAAGTCGCTAAGGCGCAGCATGGTGCGATCAAAAACTAAGTGCAATCGTTTATTGACTCAGTTTTATGAGTGCAATGTTCTTTTTCACTATTTGTGCTGCTTTTGTTGAAATCCTGAATTTTGAACCGTAGTTTGGATCTAATTCATTGAGCAAGAGCAGTTCTGGTTACTTCAATTTCAAGAATTGAGATTTGCCTGAGTATGACCTTCTTGATTAGCCAGCATCTCAAGCCACTAATCTATAACAAGTACAGTTTGTAGAAGAGAGCACGCTCTACACACTACCTGGATTTGAAATACCTGAATTTGAAACTTATATCACTCTTAGCGGTATAATTACGTCTAAGATTGCGCTCAAACGCTGCGGTGCATCGTCGATAGTCTATCATTCGTTTCTATGGACAGAAAGCACCTTTCCAAATCAGATTTATCTTAGTGTCATCTCCAAGGTCCCGCTTACAGATAAAAATCCAAAACTTGTATATTCCCCTTATCGCCGAGTTTTAGGAGGCAAACTGAAGGACAGTGCTTTTTTGCCTATGATTCACTTCAAATTGAGTCATGAATTTCTTAGTTTCTTCTTTCCAGAAGGACTTCCAACCTTTGTGACGTGTTCTGCACATGCCTCTGTTTTTTCCTCCTCTGGTTAGCCGCTATGTTCGCAAACTTGCAATTCAAGAAACTACCATTTGACAATTTGTTTTCAACATACGCATTTATCGTATTACAAAAGGTACTGTCGGATGTTAGAGGCTACTTGGTAGGCAGTGCAAACTGAGTCGAATACTACGAGTAGAGTCGAAACAATGAAATGCTGATCTTCTTATATTGAATTCTCTCTGAAAAACTCGAGGCTCTTTTTTGCATAATTTTACACGTTTGTTGAGTTGGACAGGGTACCGAGTGTGCATCATCTTTAGTCGGAAGTCCTTAGCGTTCGTAACTCTCTGAACAATGGATTTTTTAGAAGCTTTGCTTATCAAAAAGATAGAGACCCTTTTTTGTGTATGTGAATGTCATCTACAAGTCGTCATTCAACCAGCGACTTTGCCTAAAAGCTGCGAGAAACACAAGATGTTATGTTTGAAGTGTGGTAACGGACCAACAGATCCGGTTCTCATCCAACAAATACACATATATTCATTAAAACATTTATTGCTGTTTAACATTGCGTTAGAATATCAACGCAATGCGCTCCAGACCTTGTTTAGACTGAAATTCTTCCATTCAAAGAAATTAGCAATATGAAGAGGTACCAATTACGTACCAGTGCGGTATTCCAGCTCGAGTTCAGTTGCTCCTTTGCGATTATAAATTATGACGGGTACTATCTCGTTGGACGAGGTAATGGTCTTTCCGACATTTTCTTCGGCACAGAATCTGAATTACATTGATTGAATTGAGACTACCTCGACAAGCATTTTATTGATGAGCAGACCTATAGCCACTCATGAGCTGATCTTTTTGTGCTTTAATCTCAACTCCTCCAGTGCTACAACCGGAACTAACAATTACGTAGTAAGAGGTAGCTTTCGGCGAAACACTATATTTCACTTCAAGTTGCTTGATTGTCATCTTGATCGTTTTCCTCCCGCGATTCTTTAATAAAAAGTCCACAATTTTGATTATGACTGAATTTCGACTAGCTTCGAACCTGGACCCAGTAGTAGCATTCTTCAAAGTCATCCTTTTCTTTTGAGTTCAACATATCTCCCACAGTATAAGAGATAGTGTTTGCTTTGGGCGAGGCATTAAGTGTTTCACCGCATTTTTTTGCTTGTGGCTGGAATAAAAACAGTATGATCAGCAGATGAGTACTGACTTATCGAACAAAGTAACTCACTCTTTCGTTGCATCGCGCACCACCGTATCCACGTGGACAAATGCATTTTGAGCAGTCTCGCGGATTTGGGTAACCACCCATCTGGCATTTTGCAGCGGAGCGTTTAGACTTGCACTTATCTAAAGTTCAACAGAAGATCTTTAAACAGCAAAGGCTACAGAATTTTCGACCAAGAAGTTGTTCTCTTAATTTCACGGTATAGCGCATTAAAAATATTGGCGAGTTTACGATAATATAATCAAATGTATGGTTTGTTTGCATACCCACTGGAAAAAAGCGATGCATAAACAGAAACAGCTTCAAACGAAGGCAAGTACCCGCCAGGCTTATAGAACACGGTCCTCACACAGGGATGTATATCCATGCCGATATATATACTTACTGTCAGCTCTTCCTAATATTACTGACACCTTTCGAACAAAACACTTGTAGAAGAGGAATCACAATTACTGCTAATAACGTAAACTCAATTCGCTGAGTAAAAGGCTTTGATATGGTACTAATGTGGACTCTGCTGATACAATTACTATGATTATGGGGGACCAAGTAGCGCCAAAAGACTCTCAAGAAATTCAACCATATGGTATGCCATGGCAAACGATGGCAGCGCTACTTGCAGATCACGCTCAATCAGCCTTGCACAACTGTTCAAACATTAACCGTTTCTATCTACCTTGTTGATAAGGACCGGAAGTGCTCACCAAGACAACCATAGTGTTTGTTCATCAGAAGTATATCATAAAAACCTAAGAACGGTGAGCCCATCGTTTCACGATAGTGTTCATATTCCTTGTGTGGTACTATCGTTGGCATCGATTCGTCTTTAGCAAAACTGAAAAAAAGTAGTACAAAATGCTATCAAACTTACGAATTTCCAGAAACTTACGCATTTCCATCATAGTGCATCCTGCTACCAAAGTCGTAAGGTATACCATAGTTGTTAGCAGTTTCTTCTTTGTCAAAATTGTGTTCCTTGCCATCCTCAAGTTATTCCCTTTCAACGATGGCCTCAGGGTACTCAGTGTGGCCTGCACTCACCTCGATGTTTTCGAAATTGATATCTACGTAACGATCACGGTCGGATCTTGCCTGAGTATGATGCAACCCGAGAGCATGACCAAACTCGTGCGCAGCCGTCCAGTACTATAAGGCACAAGGCTTTGCTTTGGACAAAATCCAAGTTTTTTCCGGAAAGAAAGAAACAAAAAGGTATGGGAGCTTTCACGTTGTTTGCAAAATTCTGGGCTACAACCCTTTCTTTTTCTATCCCCACATATGCTTCCATCTCTATAATTCGTTTTGGTCAGCTAATCTACTTATGGCGTTTTACGAATACCAAAAACACACATGTTCACATCCTTTTCCGAGTGAAAGTGTTTGTACTCCGTGTATTCTTCCAACATTAGAGTTGCATCCCTGTCCTTATAAACTTTGACACGGTCAGAGGCTGAATACAAGCTATTGATTGTCTAAGGCTTTTGTAATTGAAAAGTTTGTAACCTGTGTTGTCTTCAACCATATCGATGCAAGTATTGTCGTGCCATAATTTAGTTCCTATGCGAGCGGCAGTTTTCATCTTCTCATCTGCAGTAGGGTTAGGAGACCTTGTCTTCTAGAGTTAATGCGGTCCGACTAATAAATGACCTACCTGCTGTGCTCTCGAAAGAGAAGTATAGTACTTTGTCCCACTTATCAACTTCAACATCGCCTGTCTGCGATCGCGAGCACCATCTTGTCCCTCAATAAGCTTGTCAGCTTGTTCTCTGGAATGGTATATCGAAGAATTACGAACACTAAAATCAAATATTACTCTGTCAAAATCATATCTCCTTGGTATAGTAGGTCCGAAATCCCACTTTCTTCGTTTATATAGTCAATTGAATCACTTCTTGTCACTTAATGCGGTTTCATTATCTAAGAAGGAGTTCAAGAGGGTTTATCATCTTTACAATCTTTACCTTCAATCTTGAGCTAGACGAGCTTGCTGTCGAGAGTCCAGCTTTGGTAATTTCATGTATCTATCGAGCTTCTGGCGAATTGCAAGTAAATGATCAACATCCAGGTTCTTAATTTAGAATTTCTTGTGGTATCTGACTGTGGTTATATTAGAATCTTAACGCATTCACTTAGCCAATGTTTTTTCTGAGTTCGTTCACTTTCTTCCAATCCAGCAAGCTGGCTGCTACGCAAACGAGTAGAAGAAGGAGGAAGAGCGTCCTCATTTTGAAGTAAGGAAAGAGTAAAGCGAATAATGAAAGTATTGCAAACGTTGATCCTGCATGGAAGTCATCACACTTTATATGCATCCTAGCAGTACGATCGCGATCAGAAGACAAAGAGTACGGACGTCAGAAGCAGCTACGGACATATCTGGATGCGTTTTTGATCCAGTGCACGTTTCACCATATGCCGCAAAAAATCCATGGAGCCAAATCCATGTTTCGCGAATTGCTGAAAAAAAGCACTTACTTGAGATACCTAACATATTATTATTTAGCCGCTAAAGAAGATTCGGGCTACTACCTAATGTTTTTGT